GATAGCTGGTTCTCTAATCCTTATACAGATCACTATCCTGCAACTTTGTCAGCCCATAAAGATGCAACAAAATGCAAACACATCTATGCAAGAAACTCTAGTGGTTCAGACTACACCATTACACACAGCCATTTCGCAAACAGATCTAGGCCTAAATCAACAACAAAATTCAACTGCCAAGCGCCAATCAAAACGCAACTACGAAGCAAGGAATTTTTCTCTGCGATTCGGACGGCAATGCGTTCACCCTTCCCCACGTGCTGCTCTCTCTGCCTAGGCTCAAAAGGCAAGTGAATTCTCCTTCTAATATATAATAAAACCTTTACAGATCACCCAAATTTATTGATCTCCGAACGAACACGCCTACAATACACTGCAGATGCGAAATATACTATAGGATTTAAATTCAGGTATAAATTAAGTACACATAATAATGATACTAATAACCATCTATCTTTTACAGGAATTTACAAGAGTTTACTTACAGTTTACTTGACATAAAAGACAAAAAATCTCAACAAAACAAACACATTATTTCATAAATTTTTAAGATGACAATGAAAAGGCACTTTACACCTCCTTTAACTAACAAAGAAAAATCTGCTTTAAAGTCTCATTGCACAACAAAATGAAATTCATTGCACAACTTTAAGTGGATATGAGAGTGTAAAAAAAAAAACAGAATTACACAATCAGAATACACAAATGGGTTAAGGGGGGGGGGGGTAGATAAAAAAGAGATAAATAAGTTAGACAAACAGGAAAGACTAAACCCGTTACTGCAAGTGGGAAGAAGAAGGAAGGAAGTTAAAAATTACACACACATAAAAAAGAAAAAAATTACAGGGGGAAAACATGAGGGATAAAATCGTGGGTTAAGAGAGACAAAAAAAAATATATATATATAAAAAAACAACCCACACACACGACTCAGAACCGCAGGAAGACGGAAAAGAAGAAGAAGAAAAGAACGACCAAATCCAGGCTACTGACCCCGAGTGCTGGGAGGCGGCGTCCTCGTTCTCGTCGGCCGAGCCCTTGACGCTCTGCTCGGAGGCGTTGGCGGAGGCCGGCGAGTGCTGCTCCGGAGGGCTCGCCGCGTCCCTCCTGCCCTCCTGCCCCTCGGCGCCCTCCTGCCCCTCGGCGCCCTCCTCCTTCCCTCCCTCCTTCTTGAACCACGACCCCAGGCTGGACCCCAGGCCGGACACCTGCGTCGACATGTTGCTGAACATATTCATCTCGGCGGGGGTTCTCTCGGCGTCCTCGGGGGGGGAATGCAGGGGATTGCAACGCTCGTCTCGGGTCAACAATGCTGGCGGGCTGACACGGACGTCAGTACATCACTATTCCATGTCAGACACTGAAGCCTCGGACGGAGATCTTCTGCTGACGACGAACACTATAAGGGGAGAAAAATCAATAAACCTGGGTGGCGAGGGAAAACAAGGGAGGATCGCATGTATAGAGTCGGATTCTCTTGCAGAAATGGCGCATTCGTTCGCTGGTGGATATTTATGCATATGTAAAGTTGGCTTTGATGAATTTCCATTAGATCTTAGATAATAAACGTAAATATTTTATACAACTTCCTGAGGAGAACGCGTAAAGAAAAGGATTGCGCCCAACAAGTGGATTACGATATAGGTTCGTAAATGTCTAAACACAGACTTCTAAAATCTCACTCCGTCTATACTCACGGGTCGACGGACGGCGGGACATTTAAATCCCGAGGCGACGCGACATCCGCCACAAATTAATGCCTTCATTATGACATTTTCCTCCGTGATATAATTACTTCTAATCTTTTTACCGTCGCTGGCCTCTTCCAATTCCCCAAAGAAGGAGAATAATAAAGAAAGGGTATTATACTTTTCATCAGGAGGCATATTTAATTAATTCCATTATTGATTAGTGACGCGTCCTCACTTTTGCTGCTGCTGACAGATCTGACTTTGTTCTTATTAAAAATGACTTTGTTCTTTCTAAAAATGACTTTGTTCTTACTTAAAATGACTTTGTTCTTACTTAAAATGACTATTCTTACTATAAATGACTTTGTTCTTACTATAAATGACGTTGTTCTTACTAAAAATGACGTTGGCCTGACTAAAATGACTTTATTCTTACTT